GCCAGAACCAGCTGCTGAAGACATGCACTCAGAATTAAACAACGGGTTGCCTCTGAGCACAGCCTAGGAATTTGTTTTCAGTATAACTCCTTCCACACAAAAGGACCTCTTAGATTTCTTCATTTCAGCAACCTAATTCAGGTGGGAAAGGTCATTTTGTTGTTGCTATTGATAAACAATTGGAAATCAGAAAAGCCTTTGCTGATGTGTTGCAAACCATGACCCACCTTTTGTCTGTCCTTGATCTAAACCAGCACCTATCTTTCCCTGAAAATACTTGCTTGATTGGTTTTTCACATCATAATACATAATTATGGAAAGGATTATATCACGGTTTTAACTTAAAACAGCAGTTTTACCTTTAGCAAAGTATAGGGTGTGCAGAGTACAGTATAAGAAAAACAACTGAAAGTGATTTTTATTGGAAAATATTTTTATTATAAGAGAACTTCTGCTTCAGCTGTTAATGCCTTGTGGTAAAGAGGAAGGCAAAAGGAATGATAAAGAGATGTCAACTGCATAAATTATTAACTTGGGAAAAGATAGCATTAAAAAGGAATAATGCATCAACTGATATTAGCTTTACCTTCTATAAATCAGACTGATTTAATACATTTCACATGGAAATAATATATAGGAATGCAACTATTTCCCCTCCCCCCATGAGTTTATCCTAGCCATCTGCCTGATCACCAGCTCTTAGCATCCCTGAGTTCAAGATGCTTACAATATGAGAGGAGCTGCTTGGAAAGAACTCCTGGCGCTGTTCTTAGGGGCACATACATTTTTTCAAAAGCTGCTTCAGTGGCCATCCATATGGCATCGTCCTGTAGTCTCTCTATGGAGAGTGAGCTTGTAGGGACTCCAGCAGAATGTGGCCATTGGTAACCAGAGGGTAGGGATCGACCAATGGATTCAAGTTACAAGAAAGGAGATTCCAACTAAACATCAAAAAGAACTTTCCGGTGCTAAAAGGTGTTCGGCGGTGGAACAGACTGCCTTGGGAGGCGGTGGACTCTCCTTCATAGGAGGTTTTTAAGCAGAGGTTGGATATCATGGATGCTTCAGTTGAGGTTATTGAAATGCAGGAGGTTGGACTAGATATCCCACAGGGTCCCTTCCAACTCTACAATTCTATTATTCTCTCTAATCGTAGCTGTAGAGGCCTGGCCCTGCACTCTCTCACACACACTCATATTGTGTATGTTTTCCCTCCATGACTAACAGCAGCACCAGAAGAATAATTTGGACTAAGGCTGTGGCTCCTGTGGCTATGTTTCACTACCTTGAAGGCCAAGTACCAGGAGATTCATTCATGCGCCTCCTGCATCACGTTTAGTTTGGTACTTGGCCTTCAAGGTAGTGGGCTGAAATTCACTCACTCTTGACCCCCAAAAGAGCCCTGATGAATCAGACTGAAGGCTCCCTATTCTAGCAAGACATGAGCACACTAGTATTCTCCCACTTGTGATCTCCAGCCATTGATATTCAGGGACATGCCATCTCTGATACTGAAGGTAGTAAACAGCCATCATTGATGGCCTTTTCCTCCATTAATTTTGTCTCGTCCTCTTTAAAGCCATTCAAGTTGGTGGCCATCATAATATCGAATTCCAAAGTTCAACTCCATGCTGTGTGAAGAAATGCTTCATTTTGTCTGTCCTGAATCTTTCACCATTCAGCTTCACACACACACACACACACACACACACACACACACACACACTCCTAGTTAAGTTGGTTTAGGATTGCACAGAGAGAGAGAGAGAGAGAGAGAGAGAGAGAGAGAGCGCTTTTCTGTGGATTGGACTTTACCCAATGCACAGGCAGAAAAAGAAAGATTAGGATTGCAACCCTATCAAAAGTAAATTCTGTTGAACTCAGAATAACTCTCTTCTAAGTATGTGTGTGTAGGAACTGGTTGTATCCTAGTTTGGCTATGGGTTGTAATCATAAATAATGAACTCAACAGTGGGTTTAAAAAAATAAAACAGGACAATCCAGCCTGTGCAATGTAAGACCTTCCTAGCATGCTGCAATCTACCTATGTGAATGTGGCTCAGTGTTACAACATATTAAAGCCAGATTTAGTCCATACCAATGGGGAAAGTGGAATATAGAGTGGAAAGGTTGTCTGTCAATGTGCTAACAGTGCTCTGAGGATAAGGATGCTGAATGCCTGGGCAACTGCATCCTAGTTTAAGCAGAATTTACTTAGCAGATGTTCATCACAGCACTGCCTGCACTTTATGGCGGTGTTGTTGAATGTTACCAAAGACATCTTACTAATAGAGACTTCATTTTCATGTGGGTTGCTGCACCGACTTCAGTCCATAAGGGATCAGTTGGGTCAGAACCAGCTGGTTTTGTATCTAGATGTCTCATGCTCAGAATATATTGTGGAGCAATAGACTGAGGTTAAATCTGCTGTAATCATAGCTAAGGTTGCAATCCTAAACCAACTTAACTAGGAGTAAACCCTGTTGAATTCAATGGGACCTACTTCTGAGTAGAAAAGGATAGGATTGTACTGTAAGTCTGGATCCAACCCAGTGGAAGCAGGATAAGGGAACTGAAATGTGGAAAGTAATGAAAGAGAAAGGGAAGAAAGCAGCAGCATAAAGAGGCTTTAGGAGGAACACTTGCTAGAAGCTTAGGAGTGAGAAGTAAAGAGGATAGACGGCTAGAGACAGAGCCCATATGAGGCTCCAAGCCAAGATTTTCGGCCGTAACATATATTTGGCAGAGATAAAAGCCAGTCACGTTTGCCTTACAGGGCTTTAATTCCACCCAGAGGAACAGATGACTACATAAACCACTTGAGCTTTACCCTTATGATTTGACATCCCTGGGTAGAAAAGTAACTCTCCGACAACACAGCTTCCTGGCATCAATTCCCAATCGATGCTTTTGAGGTAGAAAATTCAGTGCTAAATTTAAGCTACAGATAAAGAGAGGTGACAGCAACAAACCTTTGTCACCTCTGTGACTTGCATCACAGCAGTTAATGCTGCAGGAACATGTGTCTCATATTTGTGAAGCTAGTAAAAGACTGTGTCATAAATATAAGTGATCCCCCCACAATGAATAAAATAAAATAACACAATGCAAAGGAGTAGCGATTTAAAATAAATTATACATCACCACTATGAATAATGTGTTTCAACTAATGATTTAAAGACTGGCTGAGCAGATTTTAAAACTCTTTCAATTTTTGGAAGTTTTCCACATGCATTAAAATCCAGAGATTAATTGTGATCTCATTAGGCGTGACATATATATGTAGAAATGTTTCCAACTAACAGTCCATTTTTCAAACTACACCACCACTGAAAGCACATCTAAAAGATCTATCTGATTGTGGAAAAGAATTCCAAGGCTCAGGAGGATGATCCACCCAGCACTGGTTTTATACAATCTCCATTCAGTGGAAATCAGCTCCACTTCTGGGTGGGGCTGGGTTGCAGTGGAGGCCAACTAGCCTCCCACCTCAGCATGGGGGCGGGACAGTGTCCTGCATCCCACTGGGGGAGGCCCTGGCCACGTCAGGTTGCCAGGCGGCCAATCAGGTTGCTTTGGGGCGTGGCCAAGGCCAATTTAAGCCATGGTGCAACTCAGAGTCTTCCCTTTCAGCCTCGCGCCCCGGATCTCCCACCCTTTTTTCAGGTTGCATCATTGGCCTTGCTATGGACTTCGGTTGGTCGCCGTTGAGGGGCCTGGTAGGAATTTTCCCACTTGGCAAATTGGCACCAGCAGCTTGGTTTTTGCCTACCTCATAGCAACTGTCATAACTTTGTAAGGTTTGGCAGTTAAGCATTGGAATAGCGATGTGGGGGGGAGGGGAGGTGCGGCCATCACCTGCCCCTCCATGCTCAAGGGTATTTCGTTAAAGGAATCTGGGGGTGTGAATCTCGTCTGAAGCCCAGGGAGGGGCTAGGGCCATGCCTCGACCCCATTGGGAACCCAGGGGTGCTTGAGTTGATCTTCATCAGTCGGGCTCCCCCTACTGGTGGTCTACCCTTACCAGACTTCCTGCAAGGCGGGCAGAAGTCAGATATAGTCTGTTGATGCCAATGCCTAAGCCAATACCGCTCACATTCTGTAACCAATAAAGTTGTGGCCTAAATTTTGCCCGTTAACATTAACCAAATTCTGTGTCCTTGTGTCTTTATTCTCCTGGGTGGCTTGGGGGCCTTGACACACAACTGGGCTTGCACGGGATTCCTGCGCAAGCATCTTTGGATCTGGTGGATTGCTGCCAGAGTTTAAATTTACCATCGCAAACCTTGCCTTTCCATACACCATGTAGTTTGGCTCCCCCCCCCCCCAAATTCCAGAGCTCCACCCCACAAGCACTTCAATCTGATGTTCCAGGGCTGTGCCTGGATTGTACAAGTTGATCTAAGAGGGGCTTGTGAGTGAATTATCCTGCGTTACAGCAGAGGTATACGTTAAAAATATATCATTATTTTAAAATATAAAGCCCAATTTTCTGTCCTCTAGGGCACAATACACCAATGCATATAAGCATGATAGCCAAATATCTATAAGATGTTCATTTAAGAAATAATTTAGAATCTAGGAGCTGAAACTAGCATTGTGATGATTTTTGGTGATCTTCAAGTTGCCTTGAGTGGGATGGTTGTGTGGATAGATCCTTAAAAAAAACACCACCTCACCTTTCATGCTTTTGCAATTTTTTCACATCTATGTGCACCCATTGCTTACTTGAACTGTTGCTTTCTCTCTCTCTCTCTCTCTCTCTCTCTTTTAATAATTTTTATTAACAGGCCAATCACATCACATTAATTCCAAATAACAATAATTCCAAATTACACAGCCAAATTTTTAAAATTTTTGTTGGGGGTACCCATGCTTCAAGCTCCGAAAGGGATCCGATCATCTCTCTTGCTGCTGCTTTAATTACACAGTTCTGTCAAAATAATATTCACAGTTCTGTTCAATCTTCTCTTTGTTGTTTTCCTCATCTTCTTGTTGTTATCTCCTTTCTTTGTGATCTCTGATAATCTCCACAAGCGGGTTGAAGACAAACGTCATTATTTCCTGTGTGGATTTTACACTCATCCAAGAGCCATAAAAGTAGACAGACGCCATTTCAACACCTCCGTACAAAACATTCCGACAGTCTGTCCTGATCTCCCCAGGCCCGCCGCTCCCTCATAAATTTTCTCAGGGGGCCCTGCTAGGCCGAACCCACACTCCAACATAGTAACAGCCATAGTCCTCCTCCCCCTGGATTCCTGCGGGCGGGCCTGCCATGATAAATCTCTTTTTATAACTGCGTCACAAAGGACTTACTTTCATTTCCCGATGCTCCCATAAGCCACGTCCTTGCATAGTAATTAATTTCCACACAGTTCTTATTCCTCCTGCTTGTGATCAGTAATTGCAACGATTCTTTGGGGGGGGGGGGATTATTGGGTACTCACATAAGACAAAAAAAGGAAAGTTTTTCTCCCCCCCTCCTTTTCAGTCTCGCTCCGACATACCGATCCTTTGATAAATCTTCTTGATTTATTCCTCTTCTTGATTTATTGTTAAGTCCAGCCCATCGCTCCTCTTCCCAGAGATCCCTTTAGTTAGCAGTCCTTACTCCCGATCATCGCTTGAAGTATGTGCGTTTGCTTCTGTTCTGATTGTTTATTTTGAGCTCCTGCAACTAGCTGCGCAGATCAGAGACAGTGTCCAGGAGAGCCGACCCACACGAGGGCTTTTGTGCCTAGTGCCCTCACCCCCTTTCGAATCTGGGGGTGAATTATGGGCACAGCAGGCAAGGCAGCATTCCCTATTCCTTTGGGGTAACGAGGGAGGCTGCATACTCCCATAACAGCCTCTTAATTACCTCGTGTGAGCCGGAGAGATGGTATTGTCGGCCATCTTTCGATGCGCCCCCTAGCGGCCCCCTGCTTCCTCTCTCTCTCTCTTAATTTGGAGGGATCTTTAACATATGACCACAGCCAATCAGAGATCACATAGTGCAGCCAAGCAAATGAGACTACATTATGACATAGATGAAGACAAACAATGTCCTTCCATTATGGGGAGAAGCTGTCCACTCAACTTGCCCAGGCAAATGAGTTGACCTAATGAAATCATTCACACACACCAAAGGAACATACTGCAAGTCAACATTGTTGCAGTAGCATTGATACCCAAAGTAAATTGCCATTTGTAGATTTCAGCTCTCTGGAAGTCACATAGGAGAGAAAGTGCTCCTTGAAATATCCCAAACTCTGTCTATATAGAAGGAAGGAAAAACAGAAGCTTGAACTTTGCCAGCAACAGACAACTGCTGGAGTTTTGTGGTGTTGGTGTAATATGGTTCCCTGAGGCTGGAACCAGAGAAGCCATGCTGCCACATACTGAAATCTTATCTACATGCTGACACTGAAATTTCAGAACTGTCTTTGCAGGTGCCACCCTGTAGAGTGATTGACAATGACACAGGAGATGACCAAGGCTTGCCAGCCCATGGCAAATACTTCCTTACCCTTCAAGAAAGGGAATCTGTCTTTGAAGAGCTAGACAGCATTTTGGACACTTCCTGCTCATTGTTCCTATGGTTCTGTTTTTAATACCACTTTGATCCCACTTTCCTTTTATCCTGAAATAAACCAGAGTTTGCAGGTAAGTACATTCTGAGTTGATATATATGGTTAGAAATACACCCAGTTCAACATACAATTTGCAGAAACCTTCAGAAGAATTTTTTTTAAAGTCTTTATATAAAAACAGTGAAGCATCTATCTAGCTTTTAATTACACTAAGCACCATCAGTTTGCTTTAAAAAAAAAAAAACAAGAAACCATTGGTTATTGCTTTAAATAATTTTCCTCTTTAGAATTAACAAGAATTTCTTCTCCCTTTGTAACACTAAATGAATATAGTTGGAAAAGCTATTATGACAGCCTTTGATTTCAATTATCACTATTATATGGAATGCCAATGGGTATATGCAGCCCTCATTTCATTTAGCAAAATTTTGCCATTAGTTTAAACTCCAACTTAGTGTCCCCCCCCCCCAAATGTAATTTGGGAGAGGAGGGATGTTTTACAAATTGCATGGAACAAAGTACACCAATTCTTCAGGGCTGTTCCACATAGTGCTGTAAGGGCCATGTTATAGATTTAAAGCACTATTATGCCACTTTTGAGAGTCAAAATATTCCTGGGAACTGTAGTTTGCTAAGGGTGCTGAGAGTTGTTAGGAGACCCCTGTTCTCCTCACAGAGCTACAATTCCAGGAGCTCCCTGGAAGGATAACAATGTGGTAGAATATCACTTGAAATGCATGGTGTGGATGTGGCTCTTGTGTGGTAGAAACATTAATGTCCTGCTACATAGCAAATCCATTCATGTGCAATCACATTTGCACTGCATCCCAGCAGCTGCAGTGTTGTATTGCTTAGAAAATGTAATAATACCCATCACTCTCCTTTAAACTACTATGGTCATAAGTGGTCCCTGGTTGAGTGGTTGTGCAAGTGTCCCAGACACCAAGCTGGATGCATGTGTGGAAAAAGCCATCCCTCTTTGTGTACATTGTTTTGAGGAGTCCTGACATTTAGGGTATCTGGCATTCTTCATTTGCTGGGTTTGGTATTCCTGCTTTCACATACTGGAGTGCACACCACACCCCCAATGCAACCCTGTCCCTAAACTGGGGGCGGGGCAGGAACCTGCAGTCCTCCAGATGTTGTTGAACCTCACTCACGCCATCCGGGATCACTGGCCATGTTGCCTAGGGCTGATGGGAATCAGAGTCCAACTACGGCTAGCAATAGCTTCCCCACCTCTGAACAAAAAGGCCATCACTGAACAGCAACATATTGTACCACTGGCAACGCAATTAAGGCTAGCCACTTGCAATAGCCGCTGCTCTTTGGAACAGGCACTTGTGACTTCTGAATGCGCAGATCTCCACATTACATTGTCAGGTATGGGCAGAACTAGAAAGGAGTGCACAAGCAGATTGCTACAGCTTTGTTGCATAAGTCTCACCCTTGGTGCATCTGTTCAGACACATCAGTTTGGAACTGTCACATCGAAGAGTGCATGGGACACAGGGCCTCAAAAACTGTTTCCAGCTCTGACCCAGTGAACATGCAAGTTACAATACTTGTTAGGCGAGTCTTTCAGGGTCTCCCCCTCCCCATATCCAATAATTGATTTAGTTGTTATTAGTTACGCAGAGATGGGAAGAATCCTTGAGGCCTCCTAAGACAGTATTCAGCTCTTGAAAGCAACCCTTTTGAATGAAGCTCTCTCCCCCTGCCCGCCCCGCCGAGTCTTCCTGCTCATTATTCCTCTAAGCCTTCCTTTCCCGGACACCAGCTGCCACCAAGGAAGTCGACAGCAGCATCTTCCTCTGCCTTCTTAGCGGGCTGGAGCTGCACCAACATGGCCTGGAGAGTTTCCTTCACCATCTGGATCTCTCTCTGTAGAGACTGTATATGCTTTATTAAGGAATAAATTGAAAGGTAATTGGCAGCTCCTTTCCTCTCTCTGAGTTATTTAATAAGTTGTTGTTGTGCTGTGCACAACAGATGGGCATTGCTAGCTAATTGCAGCGTCAAGTTCATCCAAATTGCTTGGATTAAATATTAATACATATTTCACACTTGCTTATGCCCCCCTCCTCATCCTGTCTTTTTGGGCCTGTGGGCAACAAACAGCATTTTTTGCTTGAGGGGTATGAAGTGAGCAGCAATTTGTGTGCGCACGCACATATGTAAGCGTGAGTGGCTGTTGTAAATCCCCATGTGTTACACAAAGAGAATACCACAGTCACTATTCAGAGGGAATAATCTTAGATCTCAGCTTGAGATGAATATAAATGAACATAGAGAGCACGCTTTTTGTCTCTGTGCCAAACCTTCAGGTCAATGATGGCAATTCTCACTAACATGAGAACAGATTCCCTCCCCAAGTTCACATTCATACTGCCCTCACATCTATCAGAGTCTGAAATGCATCCTCTCCCTCTCCCTTCCTCTCTCATACACAGCATCCTCCACAAAGTGAAAAACCACCCCATGTCCGAGGAATAAAAAGCAGAACACAAGTTTCCGCTCTGGTCCTAGATGACTTTACTTGAAAGTAAACTACTCTCAACAGAGCTTAAGGGAGCTGAGCCTTGCAGCCTTACCCGTAAAGCCAGGCCTGGAATTACTTTCTCTACAGCCCCAACTCTGCAGCTGGGTCAGTCTTATACAAAATGCACAAAATGACTCCTATTTAATGCCACAGCCTTTCATTCTGGAACACAATGGAAACAGGACCTAAAAACTAACCTAATTAGTTCAGCAAGGGAACAATCAAGTAAGAGCTATTTTACATTTCAAACATGGAAGATAATGATAATATATTATGAAACCACACTTCACAGAACATTAAAGTGTCTTGGTTCAGAGCCAAATGTTTAAAAACTCCCTACACAGGGAGAGGGCAAAGTACAAGCAGACACTGATGTGCTTCCTCGCTTTTTATGTTTTTGGGGGCTCATGATCTATTAGGAAATGCTGCCATACCCAAGAACAATGTCAAGATGAAAATACATCCCTAGGTTATGAAGTGGATAAATAAAAAATCGTTTTTCTTTGGGGGTGAGGGGAGTAACTAAAGGGGATCATGGGAAAGTTATGCAAATACTTTCAATGCCAGACTGTCACACATACCAATTTGAAAAGCCTTTTGGCAGCTTCTGATTCTTTCAAAGCTTCCTCAAGATTTCATCTTTTTCTGTAATTTACATACATTCACTGTGATGTTTGACTCTCTCTTCTTCTTTTTTACTTTATGGGGAACTAATGTTAGTGTAAAAGGATAAGATCAATTTCTGCTCACATTTTTAGACCGTCTTTTTCAGTCTAAAGGCAAGACACAGAGAAGATGCTGAACAAATACCTTTTGTGCTAAAACCATGTACCAAGGATAAGTAAACAGACCCCTCATATAAGGGTGGACCACTGTTAAAAGTTGCCAACGCTCTTTTCCACCTGCCCACCCTTCCTTCATTACACCTCAGAGATACCAGAGGCATAGTTGGGGGGGGTGCTGGGGGTGCCATGGCCCCGGATACAATTTTGAGATGGGGTGCAAACAGGCACCTCCACAGCAGGTTCCTTCACTGGAGCCTGGCTCTGTGTCAGGAGTTGCACCTTGGCTGCAGTGCTTGTGCCTGGCGCAGCTCCGCTCCAGGGTCAGGCCTGACCCAGGGGAGGAGAGCAGGCGAGTGGGCGCCGCCAGTGCTGCCACCCACCCTCCTCGGCTGCGACACACCTTGCGCCCGGCGGCAGCTGTGAACATGGGGTTACCTCCTTAAGTTTAGTTATAGTGGAGTGGGGGAGCCGAAAACAATGCCAATATATTTCACATCTGACAACCAATGTGCTGCTTTGGCTTCAGACAGTACATGGGTAGACGAGTCTAAAAAGCCCAGATCACAAATTTTCACAGTCCTCTATAGAGGTTCATTTCCCAGAAGTGATGTATTTTGCATTAACTCTGGAAATTTATAATCAATTCTGACCAAACTAAGCTCCTTAGAGCAAAATACACACCAGGATTACATCCTCCCCCCACAAAAAAACCCATAAAACCATAGAATCATAAAATTGTGGAGTTGGAAGGGATCCCCAAAGGCCATCTAGTCCAACCCCTGCAAATATGACCATAAAATCTTCATACCCCCTCAATTTGATTTAACTGCATCAAACATGAAAGAAAAGAAAATACTCAAAGTGTAGTTCATGTTTCAGAAGAGAGAAACACCCCTCCCACTGTATATAGGTCTCATGATTCACACTGTCACTAAAGAAAAAAAATTATAGATAAACTGTCTCATCTGGGCCAGAGTGTTACATATAATCAAGTGCAAGAAATATCAGCCACAGTAACAAATGTACTGTTTTATGAAATACTTCTTTTCACACCCTGCAAAAACTGGCACCAGAGTCAGGGGTCATCAGTTAGTACCTCCTGACTCTGAGGCCAGTTAGTGTGGAAGAAATCCCTGGGAGAGTAAGGGATGTTTGTACCATGAGATGTCTGGCTCGTTTGCTTATGTCTCCACTGGCATTTCAAACTGACTATTAAAACCATTAACACAAACTTATTTTTGCAGGGTGTGAAAAAGTGTATTTCATGCAGGCAGAATTCAAATAGCCAACCCACTTTCTTGCAGCAAAAATAGCATTATATCTCAAACTATTACATGCTCTCAAATTGTCTGTCAAGCCATAACTGCTAATTAAGACCCCAAATGACTGTGAAATTGCAATATAAAAATCCATTTAATTTTACTGGGAATGCTAAGTCTTTTCTGTTAGTAAAGTAACACCTCTCATCAAGTCCTCAGACACCAGCAATGCGTCACCTCTTGCCTTTGGTTCTTCCAATTAACAATTCAGATTGTTTTCATTTGCTTGCCACTGATTAACAGCCATTGGCTCTTTTGTGGGTTTGCTTCACTATGGTATTTCTTGTTCAACAAATCCATCAGATGCAGAGATACACACAAGTTTTACTTTTACAGACCAATCTTATACCTGTCTACTTAGATGCAAGTCCCTTAGAGTTCAATACTCCCAGGGAAGTGGATATAGGAGTGAGCTTTAATTTGCCTGCTTGTGCTCCCATTCATCCGTCAAATGCAAAACCTCCTGCTTAATATTTGCTTTGAGAAGTTACAATATTAAATAAAAATCCCTTGTGGGTCTGTGTAAATATTCAGTGCTAAGCATTAGTGCTGGTATCTGACTTCATTTGTGTTGTGTGTGCTATTTATGCCCTACTAGCAGGCTGGTTGGTTCCAGTATTCTGTGCCATAAAAATGTATAATGAAAAACAATGGCATCTGGGATTTATTTCTTCTAATAGAAGTTTAATTATTAATCAAAGCCGCAATGTGTGTTTAAATATTGGCAGAACTGCCTTCTTGACAGCACCAGGAAGTTAGATCTCCCAGAAGCAGCCTTCTCTCTCTCTCTCTCTCTCTCTCTCTCTCTCTCTCTCTCTCTCTTTCTCTGTTTTCATTAGAAGCATACCAGCTGCAATTTTCAACCCAAAGTACTTGTACCTATCCTTGCAGCTTTTTGGAAGATCATGCACCTGGGCACCCATTTAGCCCTTGGTTAAAGGTTTGTCTACTTTAATGGGCAATTTAGAAATTAAAATATCTGGGAATTAGTTTAGGTGACACTAGAACTATTGCTAAGAGCCATTTCAGGCATGATTTTTGCTGTTCATTTTACACATTTAACTGCTTGTGCAAGTGATCTGTCAGTGCGTGAACAGTTTAATACTGGCAGATGGCACTCTCAGAACTCTGTAGATCAACTTCCAAGGCCAGGTTGCATTCTGAAACAGGAAACTGCTCATGGAAATGGATCCGCTGAACTCTAAGTCCCCTCCTCTTGTGTTAGGAAAGGACATAACATGACAATACCCTTCTGTTCCATTTGGAACGTTTTAACTGCTTTTACAATTGACATTGCTTTACTTGTTTTTATAACAACATATTCTATTGTTGTTATGACCCGTCCTGGGAACTTATGGTGAAGGGCAGGTACAAAATCTAATAAATAAACATGCAAACCACTTGGAAGCCTTTGCATAATACAAATAAGCATGAGGAAGCTTTGTCATCAGCCATCCTGACTGCCCTACACAAGTCGCCTCCTGTCTTTCCCTGCATCTGTTTGAATGGGGTTCTTGCTGCTCCTACTGTAGCAAATCCAATCCATTTGGCCAAGGAATAGACTGAGGGAAGATGATGCCATTATGTTATCATGGTGCCTAAATTGGAGACTGCCTGGGGGCCTAGCATAAGCTGCTCCAAGTTTCTCAAAGGAAGAGCAGGATGTATCAGTGTAATAAATAAACTGTGCGGCATGGACACAAAACAGTTGTGTAAACTGGGATTTAATTCTGTTGGATCTGGCTGGAGTTTTTACCATGGTATTTTAGGACCCACCAGACACTACAAGAGAGACAGAGTTATTGCTGCTCCCTGTGTCTTTCTTTCTCTCTAGGGTAGCATGTGGTTTTACAACCAACTGTTTGGAAGCAGGGGGTGGGTAAATGCACAGCACAATGTTGTTGCATCCTATGTTGGGTAAAACAAGACATTACTGGAGAGAAAAAAGGATAGAGGCACAGAGAAGTGGCAAGTAGACCTTTGGTAGGGTTGTTTGCAGGTTCCTTATTTTTTTGAATATTGCAGTCTGTCATGAACCTTTCAAACTGGCTTTGACTACAAAGCAGGCCATCTTTTCCTGCTCACTTTCCTGATTATACTTTTTCCCCCTCCTCCTCTTGCTTTGTTTATTCAAACCCATATTTCTGTCTGCATCCAGTTTAAGCAGCATATGCATTTGTGGACATCATGCAGAAGAATTGTGGAAGGAAAAGGCAGAAGTGATTTTTAACTTTGTGCCTTTCCATTTATGTAGACATGACAGATTCAGCAAGTTTAAACCAGATGCCAGTTGGCATAAGCAGCCTTTTAAACAATTTATGTTTCCTCATTCAAGGGATTTCATCTGGAAGACAACCAAATGCCCATCTTGCTAGGGTTATTTGTACTATACACAGTTAAAACTGCAGGGCAATGTGCCATGGTAAGTACTCACTGGATATTTTAAGGGGAAAATATGTTTGTTTCCAAGATGTGCATCTCCTGTTTTGCTGTAGATGATAATTCACTAAAATTGGTTTAGCAGATTACTTTTGTAAGTGGAGATCGCTGGGTTTTTCACACATCTATTGGAGCAAGTGGAGGGAAGACTGGGATCACAGGTGCCAACTTCATTCATGGAATATGGACATGCACAACTGTAGGCATGTATGGTTCTTACCATGTGATCAGGAACCATCACAAAGTGGTAGAGCATCTGCTTTGCATCCAGAAGGTCCCAAGTTCAATCCCGGGCAGCTCCAGGTAGGGCTTGAAAAGATCCCTGCTTGGAACCCTGGGCAGCCACTGCTGGTCAGTGTCAAAAATACTGAGCTAAATGGACCAATGGTCTGACTCACTATAAGGCAGCTTCCTATGTTTCCATGTTCCTAAAAGCAGAGGGCCATCAAAAGACCCAAAAATGTAAAATATCTGTACATGCAGGGCCAAATTAAATCCTGTAGAGGCCCCCAGGCAGTCGAAATCGGGTGGGGGACGGGGGGACGGGTGACACCCACCTCGCATTGAAGTAAAAAAGGTTGCTTGTAATTTTCTTTCAAGATCAAATCAATATTATTTTGATCTTTTGTCACAGGGCCCCTAAAAGCCCTGGGGCCCATAGGCCAGTGTCTACTCTGCCTATTTGGTAATCTGGCACTGTGTACTTGCCTGGCTGAACTCATGGAGGTTAGTCACAGCAACAGCATTGCTCTTCCATATGTTCAGCTGAATATGTGGCAAACAATTATGTCCCCCCAGAAGTCTTCTGTGGTGGTATTCCAGTGCTTTTCCCCCCAGGAGGTACTCAAGGGTATGCAGTACCAGAACCTCTTTTTCTTTTTCTTTTTTAATGTGGCACTTACAGCTCATGGTGAGTACCAGCACCTATTTTTCTAGGAAAAAAAACACTGGGTATTACAAACATTACAAGACATATTGTTTTAATATATGCCATAGGTTTGCCACCTCCCTCACCTGACTGGATGCCACATCATTCTAGGATGGAGAATAACAGGCCAAGGGGGGCATGTGTGAGTTTGGCTGATGCTGGAAGTTAGAGACAGAGACATGTCTCAGTCTAAGCTGAACCCAAAGCTGAGTTTGGGGTTTTCCTGGAAACGTGATGAGGAGGCAAGATTTGCTGTGCTGGAGGTGTTAATGCTGTGAATGCCTCCATCTATGCTCTGTGTGTGTGTGTGTGTTTAGAACCATATGTCCTAAATATACCACAGTCTCCATTGACCTTCATTCCATGAAAGCCAAATCCCAGGAGACACCCTGGAGACTCTTGCTGCTTGGAGATTGGAGTATATGCAACCATAGTTTGAGGGTGTTTATATCAGTACTTAAATCACTCCAAATTGAAATTAAACTTTACACCACCAAGAATGTACATTCTGTTTCTATTCTGCTTTTTCTTTCTATTAACCATTGGCACAAATTGCACTGAAGAGGCTCAGATGCACTTTTCATGGTATGTACAGGGGGAAAGTCTCAAAACAACATCTGTTCAGTCTGACCTAATTTTAGATCAAGCCAATGACAAGACTCTCCTCTCAGTTTCAGCGAGTGCTAGATAAATGGTCCTGTCACTATTCTCTGAGGGCGCATCTGCACTGGACTGTTCCCTAATATGCAGTTGGCAGTTTAACACTGAAGCGGATGCTTGGAAAGATACACATTTTTTTAAAAAAATGGGGGGGGGATATGGGAAGCTTGGTGCAGCTGGCACTTGCCCCACTATTACCCCCAAATATAGGACAGATAGGAAGAGAATACTAGTATATACACAACAT